GGTCTACAAGAGCTAGTTCCAGGACAGGCACCAAAGCTACAGAGAAACCCTGTCACGGAAAAAAAAAAAAAGGAAAAGAAAAGAAACTAGTATTGGTGAGACGTGAGACAGGTCCATAATTCAGCTACTTGCAGGCTGAGGCAGGAAGATCACAAGTTCGAGATCTGGACTCCTGAGTGAGTTCAAGGCCAGACTAGGTAACTTATTGAAACCTTGTCTCAAAATTGAAAGTTTAAAAAGCGGGAAAAGGCTGGATTTCTGAGACAGGATCCCCTGACTGGCCTAGAACCCACTATGGAAACCAAGCTGACCTTGAATGTTCTTTCTCCCTCTGTTGGGTTTGCAGATACTGACACTATGTCCAGCTGGAGGCTCTTCTCCTTTTAATAGACTTTGATAATTTGGTTTGCATTTTGTTGTTATTGTAGAACGTTTGTCTGTCCTATCCAAATTACTGACACTGCTGGTATGAGTTGTTTATGGTATTCGTGACTATTCTTTATCTAGAGCATCTGTAGTTGTGTTGGTTTCCACACTTATTCCTGTACGGTTTTGTCTCCTGTTCTAGTAGAAGTTCATCAACTAGATGGCGCTCCACAGTGAGCAAGCTTTGGGTTTCATTTGTTGGGGTTTTCTCCCTGTTTTATTAATTTCTGCTTAGATTTTAATCCTTTCTCTATTTAATTTGGATTTAATTTGTTCTTTTATGACTTTTTCAGGTACGAGCTGGGGTTATTGATACTTAGATATCTCCCCCTTTCTTGTGGAGGCATTTGGTAAACATTCCTGCTACGTACTACTTTAGGTTCTTTGCATGGTTCTGCTAATGTGTTAGCATTCAGTTCAAGATACTTTCTGACTGGCTTTTCAGTGTCTTCACTGAGTGGTAACTTACTTAGAACTATGTTGTTGAGTTTCCATATTTTGGGAAGACTCTCCAGATTCATTTCTGCCTTTGATTTCTACTTTAGTGACACTGTCCATCACTAACATTCTTTGAGTTCTTTGAGATTTACTGAGACGACTTTTGTGACCCAGGATGTGATATATAAGAATGTGCATTCTGCTGCTGTTGGGTACTGTGTTCTACAAATGCAAACCTCATCTAGTTGGTGGCATTGCCCATGCCCTCCATATTCTTACTGATGTTCTCTGAGCCCCACCCAATGTGCTGTGCCTTAGGGAAACAGGAGTCATTCCCAAACCTGTGTGAGCTCTAGAGATAATTTTCTCTAATCCTTCTAGGTGGTTCTATTCTAACTTCAGCTACTTTATTCATACACATACACTAAGCACTACTCAGCTGAAGACTTGAGGCCTCTGCAAATTTCCTCTGCAAAGGATCTCTTTCTGCTCTCCTTGCTACTTCCGAACTCTAGCTGCTTTGCCTTCGTGAACTCCCCGTTCTACTCCTCAGTTCAGAGGACCACCGTCCTCAGCCTGGAAACTTTTTCTGACAGTAAGTTGAGCAAATTGTTTTCATTCCCCAGACACCACTGTCTTGTTGCTTGGTGGTCTGTGTCTTGAAAGCTTTGATTTTTTTTACCATATTTTTTGTTATTACATTTATCTACTGAGAGTGGCGCATGCCTTGTTCATTGAGTAGAGGTCAAAGGACAACTTGCAGGAGTCATCGATTCACTCCTACCACCGTGAGGGTCCCAGGGATTGAGTTCAGGCTTGGCGGCAAGCACCTTCACTGATGGAGCCATCTCACAGTCCCATAACCAATTTCTAAAGTTGTTTCTGGCATGAAACTCAAATCTGGTCCCTAGTATCTATCTTACTTTAAAGCAGACAGTTGTATATTATCTTCTTGGGCAGCATTGGTCACTTCTCCGTCCAAGTAGAGTTGAGAGGTTCTGCTAGTCAATTTTCTGCTAGTACCTGCTCCCCCTGTGTTGGGCGTCAGCAAATCCATCAAAAGATAATGACTTACTAAGTGCCTCTCATTTGCCAAGTGTTAAGGGTTTAATCCTTATGATAGCCCTGTGAAAAAATAGTTGTCTTCACTAGAGACCTGAGGTCTCTGAAGTTTAGAAATCAAACGACATCCCTGGAGTCGCACGGCAAGTGCGTGGTATAGTCAGTATGCACATCCAGCCTGTCAGACTGAGGCCCTCTGCTTCCTGTCTGTAAAAACACCACAAAGCTGAAGGTGCCAAGTGCTAGAAGACAGCACTGTAGGAACTCCCACTGGGTTCTTCTCACTGCCCCTGCAGGAAGAGTAAGCATTTGACAGCAGTTTAGGGAGAAAAAAGTAAGTGTGGCCAAGAAGAATTGTTTTGATTGAAGGAAGAAAGAAGTGTTGAGAATATTCCTTAAGATAAGATACAAAGGAAGACTGGGATTTACAAATACTGGATCAAGAAAGCAAGAGAACAATGAAGAGGATGGAAGAGGGGAAAGGAAGAAATTAGTCTTAGATGTTGTGCTTTAGAAAACTGCTGAAGTCAAGCAAAGTGCCTCAGTGGCTCCTGTTGTCTCTAAAGCCTTCTAGTCTTTCCTGTGAACTAAAAGCAGAGGAGGCAAGAGGAATGTTTGTAAATGTTCTAGACTGATTCCCAGTACCAAAGCACAGTACATGTTAACATTCTACACATATTTTGGAAACTTGTTCTAACCCTATTTTTATAAATGTCTGAGTATTTTGTGTAATATAGTAAAATGTCTATAACTTTTCCTAGAGTGTGAAAGCAAGTTCTTCTGAATATATAAAATATGTTTAAGGAGCTAGAGAGATGGTGCAGGATGTTTGTCCTGCTCCTGCAGAGGACCTAGTTCCCAGCACCCTAACAGGTAGCTAGCAACCACCTGTAACTCAGGCTTTGGGGGACCTGTCCTCTGTCTGCTACTCACATACACATACAAAATTAAAAATAAAGTAAATCTTAAAAAAAAAAAAAAAAGCCATGCAGTGGTAGTACACGCTTTTAATCCCAGGACTTGGGAGACAGAATGGCTCTCATTGAGTTCAAGACCAGCCTGGTCTACAAAGAAAGTTCCAGGACAGCCAAGACTGTTACACAGAGAAACCCTATCTCAAAGGCACGGGGGGGGGGGGGGGGGCTTTTACTTGTAATCTGAGTACTCAAAAAGAAGAAGCAAAAACTTCCAAGTTTGAGCCAGCCTAAGATACATAAATTTCAGGCCACTCTGGGATACGTAGTGAGACTCTGTCTCCAATAAACAACCAAATGGAAACTGTGAAACTCTGTGCTAGGAAACAGTAACTCCCGTGAGCTACTTCAGTCCAAGCAGTGCTGTGTGACTTTGTATCTGTGACTCTGACTACTCTGCATGCTGCTCAGAAATGGAGTTGGTGCTTATCCTTTTCTGGATGACATTTCACTTAGCTTAATTTCCTAAGTATTCCTTCCATTGTAAGACTGAGTAATATTCCGTCATATGTGTGTACTGTGTTTCATTTACCTGTCCTCCTGTCGGTGGAACCTTGGCTGCTATAATATTGCTCCTGTGAACATCAGTTTGCAAACATCTGTTCGAGTCTGTGCTTTCGGTCCTTTTAGGTGTTACCCAGGGAAATGTTTTCCACAGCAGCTTTGCTATTTACAGTCCCACAACCAATGTACAAGTTTTCAGCTTTGTTACATCCTCAGCAACACGTGCTCTTTTGTCTTTTCTTGATGATAAAGACCCAAATGAACGGGAAGTAGTATTGTATTGTGGTGGCTTTTAGTTGGTTGTTTTTATTGTTTTATGTTTGTCTAGGGGGTTGTGTTTTGTTTGTTTGATTGATTGTTACAGGAGTTCATGGAACTCAAACTGGCCTACACTCATGATATAGCCAAGGATAATCTTCCTGCCATTGCCTTCCGAGTCCTGAGATTATAGGTATGTGCTACCAGGTGACCCTGTAGCCTAGACTGGCCTCACACTCAGAGCATTCCTCCTGACTCAGCTTCCCGAGTGCTGATATTACAGACATGATCCATTGTGCCTGGCTTGCTTGTAGGAGTGGATAGGTTTCTTGGTTTGTTTTGAGACAGGGTCTCTTACAGCCCATGCTAGCCTCAAACTTGCTATGTGACCTTGAATTTCTGCTCCTCTTCCTTCTGAGTGTTGAAATTGCAAGCATGTGTCACCACCACACCTGGTTTATGGAGCGCAGAGGAGGGTACCCAGTTCTAAATACATATTAAACAAGTACTCTTATCAACTGAGCTGTGTCTCATTGTGATTCTGATCGTGTCTTTATCATATTTAATTTTGCTATTGGTCATGACATGAACCCTGTATTAGGTGCTATGTTTTCTAAAAACAGTGTGAATTTGCAGTACTACCTGCCATAGTTATAAGACTGTTTCTCCACATCATGCCTACATGGTAACATAAGAGGACTTTGTTTTAGCTGGCATTGAACAGCAGAAAATGAAGAGATACTGATAAATTACTTCTTAAACACTTGAAAAAGTTTGTGACAGGGTCTCATTTAGTTCAGGACCTACTATCTTGCTAAAGCCAGCCTTCAATTCTAGCCTCCACTTCCAAAATGCTTTAATTATACCTGCTTTTACTTTATTATCGTTTATACACGCATGTGTGTGTGTGTGTGTGTGTGTGCGTGCACACAAATGTACCATGATGTGCCTATGGAGACAGAGGACGATCCTTGGGAGCTGGTTCTTTCCTTCCACTCTGGGATCTGCTGTTGGAACTCAGGTCGTCAAGATTTGCGTGGCAAGTACTTTTTACAAAACCAGCAGCTTCCCAGCCTGACATTTTACTGTGTGTGTGTGTGTGTGTGTGTGTGTGTGTGTGTGTGTGTGTAAAACTCCAAGTGACCTGAAACTGTAGATTATAAATATTCTTTAGTCTTTATAATATGTAAAATGCAGTTGAGGACAGTCATTTCTATGTGTGGTTGAATTGATGAATTAATATTTTGAAATAATCAGATAACAAGTGGGTTTTTTTTCCTGTTTTCTACTGTTTTCCTGAAATAAACAAAGTAGCCAATGGCTTCTAATTTTTCCTAGCTTAATGCAGATGCTGAAAGAGAAGAAGGGGAAGAATTTGAAGACAACATGGATGTTTTTGATGACAGCAGCTCCAGCCCTTCTGGCACTTTAAGGAATTACCCACTTACCTGCAAAGTTGTTTATTCCTATAAGGTTTGTATCACCCCCCACCCCCGGATATTGGTGATAGTAAATTAGACAACTCTGAGAATTCATTAAACTCTGCTCACACTGCTGGCATAAAGCTGCCATCTGTTAGTGAAATGTTAAGACTCTGACATTGACTTTTCTGCTTAAAACCCTGTCTCTAGCCAGGCGGGGCAGCACAGGGCTTTAATCCCAGTACTCAGAGTCAGAAGAAGCAGGCAAATCTCTTGAGTTCAAGGACTGCAGGGCTACACAGAGAAACCCTGTCTCAAAAAAAATCTGCCATCTCTGCTTTTCTGAGTACCCAAGCATACACTCAGTCTCTGCGAGACCCATTGTTTTGGGGGTTTTGTTTGTCTTAGGGATTTCTTGGCTTGTTTGTTTTCCTGTATCATAGGAACAGTATCTACTTTGAAGACTAAGTAACACATAGCAAAGCACTGATCATGGTACCCCACATCTCATAAACGCTTAGTGGCTAGAGTTCATGCCCTAGCTTGGCATAAACCTTTTGTCAGGATGCCCCTTCCCTCCCAGATTGAGAGCAAAAGAACAAAGAGTCTTACAAAGTAGTTGTAGAAAAAAATCCAGCACGGTAGCCAGTGGCTGCAGTTCAGACTCCAGGAGTGCTCAACTCCTTCCCCTTGAACATCCTGTACTCTTCACTCCTCTGCCAGCTGTCTGCTTCTCTCCCTGGGAACCCAGCTCCAAAAGCACCCTCCGCAGGACAGTGGTGGTGCTCACCTTGAATCCCAGCACTCAGGAGGCAGAGGCAGGCGGATCTCTCAGAGTTTGAGACCAGCCCGGTCTACAGAGTGAGTTCCAGGATTGGTTCCATAGCTACTGAAAAACCCTGTCTCAAAAAAAAAAAAAAAACCAAAAACAAAAAGGAAAGGAAGGAAGAAAAATAAAGGAAGGAAGAAGAGAGAGGGAGAGAGAGAAACAAGCAAGCACCTTTCTTGCAGGAGAGAGGGCTTAGCCGTTAGAAGCTCTTGTTGCCCTTACAGAGGACACAAATTTGGTTCCCAGCATCCACATAGAGCAGTTCACAACTATTGTAAGTCCAACTCCAGGCCTCTGGCCTCCAAGGGCAACTACACTTACACTCATACACATAATTAAAATAAAATAAATCTTTTTAAAAATGTCTTTCCTATAAGAAAAAAAAAGTACCTGCTTGGGTCATCCTCGCAGCCTACTCAGACCCATTACCTCATTCATTTACTCTGAACAGTCATGCACTGCTTAACAGTAGGAATACATTCTGAAGAATGCAACATTAAAGCGATTTCAGTTACCGGCAAACATAGAGTTCCATAGCCTGATGGGAGAGCTTCCTGCTCACAGAGCTGTGTGCTCTGTGTCTTATGGCTCATCAGGCCATAATGAACAAAGCACATGAGAAGTACAGGGCTGCTGCCAGCCAGCATGCTGCTTTACCGTAACTTCTGTGTGAGAGAGTCTCATGGAACCCAGGTTAGCCTCAGACTCATGTAGCTGAGGATCATCTTAAACCTCCCAAGTGTTGGGATTTCAGGTGTGCATTTCCAGGCTCAGGTCTATGGTAAAGTTTTTTTTTTTTTTTAAGTAGAAGGAATATATCCTAATACAGTACTCAGAATGTGAGAATACCAGCACTCAGGAGGTTCAAGCAGGATGACAAAAAGATCAAAACTAGCCTGAACAGAGAGTTCCAGGCCAATCTAAGTCAAAAGATAAATAAAAAATAAAAGTAAAGCAAGAAATAGTAGATTCATTGACATTGCTGTACCATATTATCAGGTGTTGCGTAAATTCCGTATGTCTGGCAGCACGGGTTTGTTCATATAAATAATCACTGCCACAGACAGTGAGTAGTATGTTGCACTGTGTTGTATCATGATGGCTACAACATCAGTAGGTGACAAAGTTTTCATCTCCATTATAATTTTCTTTTTGAGATAGGATCTCACTCTGTAGCCTATGTAGAAGATACCTTCAGACTTCGGGCGGCCCTCCTGCTTCACCTACCAAGTTCTGGGGTTACAGTCAAGAAATGCTACCTACCATGCCTGACTTTTACTGTAATCTTACAGGACCACTACATATGTTGTGTAGTCCATTGTTGACCATAACCTAGTGAAACACGTAATTGGCATTTGTGACTAAACTTTATCATACCTGTTTTCCTATTTCTTTGGCGCCTCACTGAAGAACTACAGAAACAGAACCTTTGTGTTCCTTATCTGTGTGTTCAGCACCTGTGACAATCCTGGGCACAGAATGTAATTGTGGAATGAGTGAATGAATGATACAGGAAGACATGAGCAAATAAGTCCTCTGGCCCCACTGTGGTAAGACAGTAGAGGAGGATATGCCACAGGTGACAGATGATAGAGAAAACTCTGACTGTTGTGCACCGATACCCCACCTCCACCCATGTGCTCAATACCAGTAATTCCTGGACTTTTTTGAGTTTGTCATCCATTCATTAAATTTAAACACATAATTCTTTTTCCTAAAAAGGTTAGGGCTTTTGCCAGTGTAACTTGCCATTATTGATAAACATCTGATTTAAAGTCTCTTCTGAGATACTTGGAAAGGTCTTCCAAGGTATAGAGCTAAAGCTCCATTTCCTGATGTTACTTCTTGTTATGTTTCCTTGCAAGTTCCAGAAATAGGATTTGAGATATTTAAATGGTGAGTTCTAAGTCCCAATTGATTTCAGACAGCTCACATTCTTTCCCATCTCTTCTGCTGACATACCCGGTCATTTCCCCGGTAAACCAGAGTAGGAATCAGAAGTTTAGCCTAGTAGTAGCGTACTTCATTAATGTGTAAGACTCTGGGTTCAAATCCCAACCCTTGGCCCTGTGCTTGATCCCCAGAATCCATGTAATAGAAAAAGATAACTGATTTCCAAAATGTAGACATACATTTGGCAAAACTCACATGAATTTTTTTAAGAAGTATGGCATGTGATGGTGCACATCTTTAACCCCAGAACTCTGGAGGCAGAGGCAAGCAGATCTTTGTGAGTTCCAGGCCAACCAGAGCTTACATAGTAAGACTATATCTCAAAAACAGACAAACAAACCTTACTATAAATGTCAAATACAAATAAAGAATACCAGAATCTCTGTATTCTTCAGCTTTTCTGCAATAAATAAGCATGACTTTTAAAACCAGGAAAGCAAAATCCAGGAAATGTAAAGATAGCTGGGAATGGATTTCTGACTTACTGAGTATTCAGACTTAAAGGACACAGGATTAAGATTGTTTACTGAGTAGCTATTTACTAATTGCTTGCTATCTGTAGTTGGAATGAGAGAAGAAATAGCCCACTTTAGTCATTTAGTAGGAAACCACAGGAATGACCAGCTAGCTGGAGTGCTGTGCGTGGAAGTTGCGAAGGTCTCACAGAAGTAAAAGAGAAGAAGCAAGTAGCGCACAGTGGCTGTTCTGGAAGAACGCTCACTGCACCACAAATCTCAAGTAGTAGAAAGAATTGCTTTTACTTGCTTGTTCCTAATCCCTTCAGCAACCCTACAAGGAAAAGATCACCAGAGGCCCCATTCATTTAACAATGAGTGAACACCTCCATGTACCAGCAGTGTTTTTTCTCTATGACCAAAAGCCTCTGCCCTTAGTGGACCTTATATTCTAGTTGGGGGTAGGGTGAGGTGAGAAGAAGCCAAAAGACCAAAGACATTTTTTTAAGAAAAATTAAAATTTTATATTTTTTTATGTCTATATTTTGCCTGCATGTGTCTCTTTACCACATTTGTGCCTGGTGCCCACGGAGGCCAGAAGATGGCACTGGGTCCCCTGGAACTGAATTTACAAACAGTTGTGAGCTGCCATGTGAGTGCTGCGAATTAAACCCAGGTTCTCTGCGAGACCAGCCAGTGCTCTGACAACCAAGCAGTCTCTCCAGCCCTCAACACCTTAGGGTCATTTGCCTAGAATTTGACTGAAGCTGGACTACTCAGCTCTAAGGGAGTTTTGCACACCTTTAATCCCAGCAGAAGCAGGCAGATCTCTTGAGTTCAAGGCCAGTCTGGTCTACAAAGTGAGTTCCAGGACAGCCGGAGCTAAACAGAGAAACCCTGTCTTGGAGGGGGAAAGAAAATCTTGAGTCCTTTTTCTATGTCAGGAAGCAATGGCATCATCCATAGTCTGGGTGTTGATGAGGTGGAAAGGTGTCTCAGGAGGCAAATTACTTTCAACAGTAGTTTTGGTGCAGTGCACCCCGCAGTAAGTGGACGCAAGAGGATCGGAAATTCAAGGTCTTCAAGGTCATCCTCAGCTACTTGGCAAGGTTGAGTGAGGTCAGCCTGGGTTAGTGAGATCCTAAATCCCCCTTCTATTTGTTTGTATAATTTGGAGATATTTTATACTTGAGATTTGAAGGACAATAAAGCCTTGTGTGATAGTGGACTTGGGGAAAGCTTTGAAGGCTTTTTACAGGAGAACTAGAAGACACATGTCACAAGTGACAGACAAGACTCTTCAGGAGGCCTTGGTGGAGGCTCTTTCCTTTCTTGGTGGAGTTTCCTCTGGGTTCTGTGTCTCAAAAGCAGATGTGGTGGTGGGTGCCAGCTGAGACAGTAAAGCTACTAGAGCTATGGAGAAACATCCATCTGGGGAAAACCCACCTCAGTCATTGGCTTGCTCATAACTTTCCTCTTTGATTGCAGAGGAGCCCTCGGCACTGCGCAAGCCACACTGCAATCCATGTACATGGTGTCTGCGTTTTCACTCCATGCACTTCCATCCGAGTGCCTTCTCTGTTACTTGTGCCTCCCAGGTCATCTTGGTTCTGTGCTTATTCTTGCCATTGACCCCCATTCTTCAGAGCATGGCACAGCTGACTTGCCGTTTGGAATAAATGGAGGCTTTCTGCTGAATAACTCATGCAGATAAGCACAGCAGATAAGCGGGCTGGAAGCAGCGCCCATGCCCTCTGCTCCCAGCTCTGCACTCTGCTCACTGAACCTGAATACCTCTCGAGGAGCCAGTTTCTGTTGCCTTTTTTTTTTTTGTTCAGTTTTCAAAAGTAAAACTTCACCTCATTATGACAGTTTTACAGCACTGAAGTTCTGTTTCTCAAAATCATCTCAGTGTTTTGATCCCTGGCTTTTGTTATGACCAGCTCACATCTGCTCCTTATCTAACCTTTTTGATTTTGTTCATGGCCATCCTACATTGCAGGCTTCTCAACCAGATGAGTTGACCATTGAGGAACATGAGGTGTTAGAAGTGATTGAAGATGGAGATATGGAAGACTGGGTAAAGGTATATTCCTTTGCTCATATCACCCCTTCTTGTGATGTCTTAGGCATCTATTGTGGTTCCTGGTGTGCTCTGTCCAGATTGTGTGTACAAGCTTGTTTTTCCCTGTCTTTTACCCAGGCTCGAAATAAAGTTGGACAAGTGGGTTATGTTCCAGAAAAGTACCTACAGTTTCCCACCTCAAACAGCCTGCTGAGCATGCTGCAGTCTCTGGCCGCTCTGGACAGTCGGTCACACACGTCCAGCAATTCCACAGAAGCAGAACTCGGTTCAGGCCTCAATGGAGATGCTAGTGGTAAAGACTAAAATGGACACTCGGTCGGGTCACGGCCCTGACCTAACTAGTACCTGAAAGTCACTAAAACCTTTAGTATTTAAAAACACTTTATGGCCGGGTGGTGGTGGCACACGCCTTTAATCCCAGCACTCGGGAGGCAGAGACAGGAGGATCTTTGTGAGTTCGAGGCCAGCCTGGTCTACAAGAGCTAGTTCCAGGACAGGGTCCAAAAACTACAGAGAAACCCTATCTCGAAAATTTAAAAAAAAAAAAAAAAAAAAGCACTTTATGTTGTATGTCTTCCTATATTTGATAGCACTAGTCCTGTTCAGGAGAAGCATAAAGTTACTTTCAGTGAGTAAAAACTTAAAACTTAATTTTGTCTTGTATAATGCTCACTAGTTGTCCTGGAGCAAAAGGGTGGTTGAAAAATCAGTCCTGCTGGCTAAAATGGTGTGGGTACACTGTTACCCTAGGAGTTGGGAGTTTGAAGTAGAAGGATTGTTGCAAGCTTGATACCAGCCTGGGCTACAGAAAAGACCTTGTCTTAAAGTTAAGGACAAAAGCAATGCGTTTGTCTGTTCTCATCGGTTTGTCTTTCTCTTGCTTCCAGTCTGTTTTGTGAAAGCACTTTATGATTATGAGGGCCAGACGGACGACGAGTTGTCCTTTCCTGAGGGAGCAATTATTCGTATCTTGAACAAAGAAAACCAAGATGACGATGGCTTCTGGGAAGGGGAATTCAGTGGGCGAATTGGCGTATTCCCATCGGTGCTAGTGGAAGAGCTCTCAGCTTCAGAGAACGGTGACACTCCATGGACAAGAGAGAGTCAGGTACATGAGAGGGAAAAGGTAGAGAAGCTTCTCCTTCCTTCTATCCCTCAATAGCCAGGTTCTGCACAGCTGAATTTGGAAAACTAGAGACTTGTTAGGACGTTGTAGAAAATGACCATCTTACATTCTATTCTCTTTCCCAACTTGTTTTCTCTGAATTCATTAAAATACTGAATTTCATATGACATTTAAGAGATTTTGCTGGAGAGAAAGAAGCCAGGGAGGGGATGTATTGTCTTTCGCTAGCTTCTGCAGTATGGCTTTTAGCTGGCCCTGCTACCTCACTAGAACCCTGCCTTTCCCAGGTTCTGCCAGAGCTGGGGGGGGGGGGTCAGTTTCCCTCACCACAACTAAGTGTTGTTTTACGGGAAATTGTCGGTTTGATTTGTCCTCTCTAGAGATCTGTTCCAGCAGGCCTGGCAGATGGAAGGGTAAAGTGTGCGATTATGACTGCTTAGTCGGTATGGAGAAGACCTGGGAAGTCAGAAACTCAACCAGTGATTTTATCTTCACACGTTTGTCCCCCATTTTGTTCTTCACAGCTTTAGCTGAATTGCCCAGTAGAAGAATGTTCCCATTGACTTAGTAACTGTTAAAGATCCATTAGAATCAATAGAATAATGAAATTTGAGAAGGAAGTGTTAAGTGCAGTATGAAATTGACGCTTCAGAGTTTATTTCAGGCCCATTTGCTTCTGTGAGACTGACAAGTGTTAGCAGTTATAACTTAGCTGCAGAGGAAGGGGAGGCATGCTGAGCAGCAAAGCAGCCAAGCACTCCTTCCCGAGGACAGCGTCTCATAACTCTGCCTCCTTTGCTGCAGATCTCTCCATCCCCAAAGCCGCACACGTCCCTGCCTCCACTGCCTCTGTATGACCAGCCTCCCAGCAGCCCATATCCCAGTCCAGATAAGAGGAGCTCCCAGTTCTTCCCCCGGTCTCCTTCAGCCAGTGGTAAGTGTCCTGCACACGCCTCAGCACTCACATCTGTCACACTAGTGTAAGTGTCCTGGGCACGCCTCAGCACGCACATCTGTCACACTAGTGTAAGTGTCCTGGGCACACCTCAGCACGCACATCTGTCACACTAGTGTAAGTGTCCTGGGCACACCTCAGCACGCACATCTGTCACACTAGCATCTTTACTGTGCAGTTGTCAACTCTTGGGTTCTCTCCCTCAGAAAACAGCCTTCATGCTGAATCACCAGGGTTCTCACAAGCCTCAAGGCAGACTCCTGACACCTCATATGGCAAGCTGCGGCCTGTAAGTCTCCTGTTTTAAAGAATTATAGATTGCATAGTTCTTTCGAATTGAAAGTGAGAAATCATTTGTCCCCCGTGGTCCCTCTTGTTGCTGATCTGCCATGCAGTAGTTGGGCAAGTGAAGGAACTGTTGGGAAGAAAGGCTCTAAAGTGAGCTGCAGGTGGTGACTTTACTCCCGGCACCAGAAGGCAAAGGCAGGCAGGTCTCTGAGTTCTAGGCTAATCTGGTCTATAGAGCAAATTCCAGGCCAATTGAGGGAGGTGTTTGAGATTTCGCTTACCAGTTAAGAGCACTTACTGCTACTGCAGAGGGTCTGAGTTTGGTTCCCAGCAGCAACATACAATAGTGGCTCACAACTGTCTGCAACTCTAGTCCCAGAGAGTCCAGTGCCCTTTCCTGGCCTTCTCAGTCACCAGGGCAGGGATTCACATGGTACACATAAAGAAAAAAATCATTTTTCTTGAAGGGAGGAAGGCTATAAAATAACTGATCTAGTGTACATTGGAACTTTCCAACTGAGCCAGGGGAGATCAAAGAGGGTAGCTGTGCCGTGCTCAAATACAAACATAATACAGTCGTAAAGTGAAGCAGTTCCTTAGCATACATTATTAAGAGCCCATTTTTCAGCTGGGCTGTAGTGGCACACACCTTTAGTCCAAGTAGAGGGGCAGACAGAAGAGACCTGGGTTCAATACCCAGCACCCCTGTGACAGACTCCAGTTCTGGGGGTCCAGTGCCCTGTTCTAGCCTTCAGGGATACTGATCTGAATGCGATGCCTCGATCCCCCGATCCATTGGCTTTACTCATTCAGCAGATGTGTCTGAGAACCGTGCTGGAGTCATGGCCGCTAGTCTAGGTCTCTGTTATGAGAAGACACTGAGGTGATGAGCAGAGCCTGTTTTGGTTTCTTACACATGTTTAAATTCTTGCTACTAGCTGGGCATGGTGGCACATGCCTGTGATTCCCAGAACTTGGAAAGCTGAGGTAGGAAGATCATGATTTCAAATCCAGCCTGGGTTGTCTCAGAAAGACCAGGAGGCTGGAGCAGAGTGCCAGCAGGGCTGACAGGAGAGGGAGGAGTGAAGAAGACTTGCTGTCCATCTCTGTAGCTTCCCTTCATGCTTCTGTTGACGTCATTAGACTCACTCTTCCCAAGTGACCATAAAAACCATTTCCATGCCAACAACCCCCATAGTCATGTCTTTCTCCTGAGCTTTGGCTTCTGGGATCACAGCTTAGATGCCCCAGCCCCACAAACTCAGCAAAATGGAATTAAATCTCTTCCCTTCTGGACATGTTCCTTCTCTGAGGTCTTGCCTGTGTAGGTGAGGGGGACCCACACCCTCCTCCAAGTCTTGGAGTCATTCCTGCTGCCTTATTGGTCCCAGCCTCCTACCCCTCACCACAGACACTTACCAGAGTGAACCAGCGGGGTCTCTGAACTGTTCAGTTGACACCGTCACTCATCCAGATGACCAGGACATCTAAGTCATCCTCAGAGTACTCGTGCCCACTGCAGTCTCCTGTAGCTGTTGAATAATGTTTTCCCACCCAGACCCGACACTCCTTACAACCAACCAAAACCTCTACCTCCAAGCCCAAGTTCTTGTTTCTGTTCTTCCTTCAACTTCTTTTTTCAGTGCTCAGAATTGAACCCAGGGCCTTCAGCCTGCTAAACAAGCGCTCTACCAGTAGGCTACGTTTCCAGCCCTGTGTTCTTTGTTTGATTTGAGACAAAAACCTCATGGTATAGCTCAGGCTGGCCTCTGGCTTTGTGTAGTTCTGCCTCTACTTCCTGCATGCTGAGCTGTACCACCATGGCTGGCTATACCTGTAACTTAGTAAAGCCCTCTGCTACCTGCCTCTGCCTATCTCTCCAGCCTCCCTCCCTGTGGCTCTCCTCAGAGACATAGTGAGCAGTTCCATTCCCTGCATTGTGTCTTCTTTTTTTTTTTTTTTTTTTTTGTTGTGTGTGTGTCTGTGTGTGTGTCTGTGTGTGTGTCTGTGTGTCTGTTTATCTGTCTGTCTTCTTTTTGCCACCCCTAGGCCTTTGCTTTGGAGAAGGGTTTTAGGACTACAGCAACACATACGTCTTGGGACCTCAAGCTATCTGATGTGACAAATCATGCAGAATGGGGTCTGCTTTTCGGGGTAGGGAACCCAGGGAGAGCTGGGAGCATTTCCCAGTCAGGTGTCAGTGTCTATAAAGAGGAGCATTGGAGCTTTCCATGTGTTGGGTTCTGAGTCAGGAAGCTGAACGACAACCCTGCAATTGTCTCCTGCTCAGGTTCGGGCGGCACCCCCACCACCCACACAGAACCACCGACGGCCAGCTGAGAAAATGGAGGATGTGGAGATCACACTGGTGTGACAGTGGGTTTACCTTCTGTTGTTGCTACAATCAAGGCCAGGCTTGGAGTTTGGCCAGTCGTTTTTAGGCACCTTTGCATGATGATGACTCTTGAACAGAGCAAAACCACGGAGGATTCTATGTGACTGGTTGGCCTGATTGTGCCTTTTTTTGTTGTCATTTTCTATGTCATCTCTCCTACCATAGCACAAACCATAGCGGGTCCTAGTTGCAGAGGGGAGCAGCTCTCATGCCTTATGGTGGCCCATTTTTATATGAGACTCCAGGCCAGACCCAGAATCACTGTACAGTATATTACTGTAGTCACAGGCTGTGGCAAAGATCTCATCTGTCTTCAAGTGGACTCTGCTCTTCTGATTAAAATTAATCAGATTATGTTGACTATATAAGGAAACAAGAAGGATCCAGGAGAGGCTGGCTCCTCCCTGAGGTTCATTCCCATACTGAAAATGCAACCCTACTGGGAAGAAAGTGAACTGCCTGCGCTTAGCGCCAGTCGCATTAATGCACATCTCTTCACAACTAACAGACTAAAACAGCAGTGTCCTTTGTGTTAATATTTATGCCATTCTTTTAGTATTCGTGGGCTGAGCTGGAGGGCTGGAGCCACATCCTGCCCGTCTCATAGACGGGAGTAGAAGGGAGGCTATGGCGGGAGCAGAAGTGGAGCTTCCAGATCTGAAATGAGCCACGTTAATGTTCTTTTTGTCTTTGGGTATTTTCCCTCTTGGTTTTTACAGTGTATACACTTCTGACCAGTATCGTTTGAACCCAAGTGTCTGGCTGCATTGAGGACACAGGTCTACATTGCACAGCTTCTCTATGGGGAAGGCCCTTATATTATTTTATTCCCAAGCCAGAGTACTGGCCCAGACAATGGGTTGTGATTGGTGTAGATCAGCTGTCACCTACAGAAAGTGCAGCTTCAGGTCCCACTGCCCTGGTATTTGTCTGGGGTGAAGAACCTGTGGGCCCTGGAAGAAACCTGTTTCCTGCGTAAAGGATAAAGGACTGCACACCTGCACAGGTGAAACCAAGGAGACCAGACCTGCAGGTCATGGGAGAGCCACCTGGTGTTCCCTATGGCCACAGCAGCAGGGCCCTGAAGGGCTGCCCCCAATGTGGACTGTTAGGTCTTCTTGACCTAGGAAACAAAGTGATGTTTGCCAATTCCCTTTTACCTTGGTTAGGAAATGAAATTCACAGATTTAAAGGTTGTATGATGCTCTGAAATTTCCATCCCTCCTGAGAATCTCTAAAAACTTGAAATGCGCACATGTCCCCGTGGGATCTTGACTGATATCAGAGCTGAAGGGATTTCCAGTCGTTTGATCACTTTAGCAACGATGCTCTAATGACTCTTCTCCATAAATCTGGATTTTTGTTTTTTGGATTTCTTTATCTGTTGATCTATTTGAGGTCTTTTTATGTTTATCAAACTTATTCTTAAGTTTAAAAAATTAAAAGGGTGTTTTAAGATTTTCAAATTTGCTGATCTTTAAAGTGCTTATAATAGAGCAATTCCTGCCACCCAGTCTTGTTTTCTCTTTAGCTAACCAAGTTGTCCTTGAATTTGAGTTTCCCATAGCCTCAGAGTTATTTGAACTCTTTTGTTATATTTTATTTTTTTTGGAAGAGCTGCTAATTTTATTTTAAGGACAACGTTGAAAAATATGCCTTCTTTTTAAAAAAATAACGCTTCTCTCCAGGCTGAGTAGCGGCATCACCATGCATAGGTCAGGGCTCAGAGGAAGCCTCCGTGCGGGTGTGCTTTCTTTACAGTGGCTGTAAAAAGTTTGTATTTATTATATATAAAATGTTGAATAATAAAACATGGAATTAAGTTTTCCAAGTGTTCTGATTAAAAAACAAGAGTTGATTAAACAGAGTGGAGAGGGGGAATGCTTCTTACAAAGACGCCCTGGGCCCTGTGTGGGGAGCCGGGAGTGAGTCCACCGGGCAACAAGATCCTAATGCTGTTCTTTTCCAGCAAAGAGAGATAGGGTGACTCTTAAGACATGTGATGATCTAGTTACCGGATGAGTCCCTCTGGCTTCCAAACAACCACAAGCCAAGGACTAGAACCCAGCCCAGGTGTGGAGGAAATCACAAGTTGTTATGTGTGATATGTATGTGAGTGCAAGTGTGTGTGCGACAGCACATATTTGCGGATCAGGACAGTTTTGGGATGGTTTTCTCTCCGCCCTGCAGAAGCAGTCCCTTGCTCTTGTGCTGTGTACTGCATCACCTCCTACAGAAGTGCTCTTTCCCTCTCACAGCTGTCTCACCAGCCACATTTTGTCATGGCTGCATCCTAGTCACTTGTTTGACTGTAATAATTTAATCATTCCTTTAGTGAAGGGCATTTAAGTTGTATCAAGCCGCTTGATTCTAGGAAATTAAAGTTAACATCACTGTATACTTCTTTATAAAATTTTTCTATTCTAAATATTGGGCAAATTCCTAAATGTAGAATTTGACAAAAAGCGTATGTATTTAGTTTTGTTAGATTTTGGCCAAATTGGCCTCCAAAATAATTGCATCCATTTGCATTCCCACCACCGGTATATGGAGCAACAGGGACTTGGAATTCAAGTGTGTTCCTTTGGACACAGTGACCAGGAAAACACACTGGACTCCTTCATGTCTTTTCCTGAGATTGCTGTTCAGGGAACGTGTTTTAATGTTATTCTGAAGCATAATAGAAGGAACCTCTGGGCAGGGGTCACTGGCATGTGTACCTAGCACACCAGTGACAGGCAGGAAAAGAACTGGGTGAAGACCTGTGGACAGTTCCTGCACTGACCTTAGCCTCAGCCCTCCTCAGACTTTCTCATCTGTAACTTGGAAGTGAAAAGATAATATAAACTGCCTCAGATCCAGGAGGATTAAATAAGGCAGTTACAGATGGCCTGAAGATCGTGACTAGGGTGTACTTCCAGGTGACCTGAAGATGATCGTGACTAGGGGTGCACTTCCGGGTGACCTGAAGATGATAGTGACTAGGGGTGTACTTCCGGGTGACCTGAAGATGATAGTGACTAGGGGTGTACTTCCAGCAGCCATGGTATGTCTGGGCCTACACCTGCTGTGAGGACTCCAGATACGTTCTTCCCGGCACATCATGTGGGAGAGAGAGACTCAAGAGCCAGGACTGGGGTAAAATCCCTACTCCAGGACTTGTTTCTTATCCCTGGGGTCTTGGGATCAGTAAAGCTTAAGATGGGGCAGTTCAGTCCCCACCCCTAAGGAAATCTCCATGGGGGCCACACACGGCCTGGAAGATTTATAGAGATAGGAACAGAAGCAGAAGCTGAACCTGAGTCTAGTCATTCCCAAAGAGAATCAGAATCTTTCTTCACCCATTTTTTGTTTTAAAAAATTTAAACAGCATCGTGTAGCTCAGGCTGGCCTCCAGCTCAGGATGACCTTGAACTTGTGATTCTCTTGCCTTCTAAGTGTTGAAGTGTGGAGATTCCAGGCATACTATACAATACTCAGTTTTATGCGGTACAAGAGGTTGGATGGCATGGGGCTTTGCGCATGCTAAACAAGCGTTCTACCACATGCGTTTCTGCTGTGACCTTAGGCAAACCCTGCCGCTCATGTGGCTCTCACTTCACACACTGGCCATCTAGTTTTACGAGGGACCTTAGAGGTCTCCCTGCTGGCCCCGGCTCTTCCTCAGGGATTCACATGAACTCCCGCAGGAGAGCTGGAGGGGCAGAAGTGTCTCTGTACCCAGGAGTGATTGACATTACCTGGGTAACTCTCATGGGTCACCAAAATAGGGTTCACAACTACCTAAGGTATGAGAAAAACATCTGGAGGGGCCTAGCCCAGATGGTGCGGCTCGCAGCAGCCTCCCAGGACTCTCTCAGGTGTCCCTGCATGTGCCTCATTTCCACAGATAGAACTCAACTCAGAGTCCAGAATAGAAGAGCACTCAGGAGTATAAGGTCAGGCACAGCTCTGTGTACCCCTGGTGGAGGAGCCCTGCCTGGTTGGGAGTCTGTCTCCTGAGATTTTGGTTTGGGTGCAGGGGCTAGAGAAATGATTCAGAGGTTAAGAGCACTTGCTGATCTTGCAAAGGACCTGGGTTCAGTTTTCAGCACCCACATGACAGCTCATCCATAACTATCCACAACTATCAAGGTTAATGTTGGGGTTTATGTTCAGTTTAAGGGATCTAGCCTGTGTGGGTACCATGCACACTTACACACACAGCGCACTAACATACATACAGGCAAAATACTCATACACCTAAAAATTTTTTAAAAAGAGGATTTGGGTTGAGGATGTACTTGGAAGACCGCTTTCCTGGCGCACACGAAGCCCTGGGGGTCAGTCCCCAGCACCATATGGGATGGGGTACACATCTTTAATGACAGCACTTGGAAGGCAGAGGCACGGGCAGGAGAATCAGGTTCACAATCACACAGCCACGGAGGCCATGTTTCAAAAGAAAAGGTTGCAGGATATAACGCAGAACAATCCGTGGCTGTGTTCGTGGCCGTGTGAGCTGGAATGACAACCTTCATGCCTCACTTCTCATCTGTAGATCACAAGTGGTCGGGAGAAATGAATGAAGCTGCAGAGAGCAAGCCTGGGGCTGGGGTGCTCCTCAATAATGGTGGCCACTGGGAGTCTTTCCCGGCAGAGAAAAAGAATACAATGAAACAATTGAACCTGTTGACCAGCCAACTAGTGACCCCTAGTGGCCACAGAGAGCTGGGCCAGACTGAGGGCAAAGTTTCAACTGTAGGAATGGAATCTTAGACTATTGAACTTGCCAAGCAAGAGAATGTAACCACTCAGGAAGCATTTCCTGTGGCTTCTGAGCCAGGCATGGATACAGGGAATACTGTTCCTCCTCTTACACTTGCTCCCAGATGTAAGAAGGGTAGCAAACTGGAAGTGAGGGAACAAGACCTCTTAGGTAGGCTGTCCATCAAGGGATCCCAAAAGACAACCTGAATTGCCATTGGGACGGACAAGGACATTGAAGGCAGAGGAAGAAGCCTTGTAGGACAATAAAGTGCTGGATTTCTGAAGGCAGAAGGGGAACCATGGCCCCACAGATGCTGAGGGCTGAGACAGTCAGTGCCTGCCATCCCCGCACTGAGGGTGAGGGCTGAGACAGTGCCTGCCATCCCCGCACTGAGGCTAAGGGCTGACCCCACAGATGCTGAGGGCTGAGACAGTGCCTGCCATCCCCGTGATGTGGGAGTGTCATATATCAATCTGTTGATTTCATTGGTTAAGTAATAAACACACTGCTTGGCCTCATAGGTTAAAGCACTGGGGGGAGGAGTAAACAGAATAGAATTCTGGGCAGAAGAGGAAGTGAGGTCAGACTCTGCCCTGCTTCCAGAGGGACCGGACAGACGCCATGCTCAGCTCTCCCGGGTAGACGCGATAGCTCTGCTCTCTGAGGCACACGCGATGAAGATGGATGTAGGCTAGAATCTTCCCGGTAAGCGCACCTTGGGGTGCTTACACACATTATTAGAAATGGGCTAGTCCAGGTGCGAGAATTAGCCTGTAAGGGCTAGAGTTCATGGGCCAAGCAGTTCTTTAAATGAATACAGTTTGTGTGTTGTTATTTTGGGCATGAGCTAGCCAAGTGGCCGGGGTGTTGGGGACACAGCCCCGCCACTTCGTATTTCAACATCCCCGCACTGAGGCTAAGGGCTGACCCCACAGATGCTGAGGGCTGAGACAGTCAGTGCCTGCCATCCCCGCACTGAGGCTGAGGCCTCAAGTTCTGAGCTACTCTGAGCCATCAAATGCGTACTTGACGAGCCAGGGCTTCATACCACAACTATGTCCAAAACAGTGACGACCAACACTAGGAAACGGCTTCTGGTGAGGACAAGACTAGAGTAAAGGACTTTTACGGAGGAGCACCAGAAACTGGCACCGTAAGGGACACAGGGAGGAGATGGTGGCAGGAGGCCTCCCACCAGGATCACCACCCACCAGCCCCAAGAGCTACTGCTCCTCGTGGCCCTTCATGCTGTTCCACGGTTAGACTAGTACAGCCAATCTCCCCGGGCCCCCCAAGAGCTTCAGAGGCAAGACACAGGTAGTTTTTTATCCATTTGGAGAAAAATAAACAAATAGAGATTTTTAAAAATTGTAATCCCTAATTGACACTTGATTTTTAAACAGGCCAGGTCCTGCCAGGCCCTCACATAACGTCTACATTTGACCCAACCCCGACTCTGGAGTCCTGGTCAGAGGAAGGCTGTCCTCTGGCTTCTGGCTTCAGAACAGAGCTCCAGTCCATCCAGGGAAGCTGTGCCCTAGTGCCAGAGCACCACCTTCCTGCCTTGATCCACACTCACAACATGGTTCCCAGAGAAGCACCAGGCCACAGCATTGACAGCAGCGCTGAAGAGAGGGAAGACAGACCTCAGAGGGCAGCGGGAGCAGGTGACGGGGCAGCTTGTAAGGCCTCGTATAAAATGGGCTCCCAGGACTGGTAATGATGGGTTCGCTCACCAGTGAGGTCCCTCTAGGCTGCTCTCCAGTTTCCCGGTGTCCACATCCCAGATGTACAAGGCTCCATTTGAGGAGCCTGCCAGTGCATAGCTTCTGTCAGGGCTGTGCAGGTCACAGAACGTGAGAAGGGGCTCAGAAGTGCACACACACACACACGGTCACAGAACATGAGAAGGGGTTCAGAAGCACATGCATGTGCATGCGCGCACACACATACACGGCTCTACAGGCATGTTCGCCCAGACACACCTGAACACAGCTTTGGTCCAGTCAGAACTGCATTTGAAGCCATCCGCCCTGAGGACAGAACAGGGCTGGAGTCACAATGCCGGCTGCTCCCACTGTGCCCGTCCTCCAGGTGGAAGAAAGTGCCAGCACTCAAGCAGGTCCTAATCTAGAGGGACTACAAGGAAGTACCCACCCCCACCCAGGACCCCGCACGGGAGAGGCCCAACAGGCCCAGGCCGGTACCTGAACACCTGTCGGACGTTGCTGAGTCGCAGGTCGATGACCTTGAGTGTATTGTCTCGGGAACAGCTAAGCAGCTGCAGCTGGTCATGGCTGAGGCTCAGGGAGGTGACCCGGCCCTGTACAGGGATGACCTGGATGCAGTGGGGGCCCCTGAGAGGGTAGGGATAGACAGGGATGAGGCAGAAGCATCCTAGGTTCCTTCTGACAGGCTGTCTGTGGCCACTTTCCCAGATCACGTACTCCAGAGGCACTGCAGGCCAGGATCCTAGGGCTGAGGCTGAGACTGACTGGAGGGCTGGAGCCTTTAGAAGGCTTGGGAGTAACAGTGATAGCCAGGCATGGTGGCACAGGAATCTAATCACAGCTGAGGCAGGAGAATCGTAAGTTCAAGGCCAGCCTTGAAAACGTTATTGAGATCCTGTCTCAAAATAAGAACATAAAAAGGCTGGGAGTATTCTTGTAGCAGACATAAAGCCCTTGGTTCAACCCCCAGCAAAGAAGTAATCTCAAAAAGAGATGCATGCAGCAGAGACCTACAAAATACTAGCCCTGCTTTAGTCAGCCATTCATGCTTACTGTTAGGCATATCACTTTAAGAAGCTGATTTTGACTAGAACGTGGCGATAATATGGAAAAGGTGCTTGCCTCGGTTGGTGATAAGGTCTGGGAAAGAGTTCAGTGCTAACCGAGAGCCACTGGGGAGGTGATACACTGTACCCTCAAAGACCATGGCCAGAAGCTACCCATTGGCGGCGCCACTGCCACACTTCCCCGAGGTTCTACAGCCCTTCCTGCCAAAACCACCCACGGCCCATGCCTGTCACCTGCTGTCCCAGAACCGGATCTTCTGGTCATTGTGGCCACTGATGATGATGTGGTCCCCGCACACCACGTCATTGCAGTAGGAAAGTACATTGATGGTTCTGGAACCTGAGGGCCAATGAGGAGAGCCCAGAGTCTCAAAGTGTCACCAGCACCCACTAAATGTGGAAACTCTAAGGTCCAGGAGAGCAGTGTCCTTCCCAGCCTAGGGTTCACCCTACCTCTGAAGACCACAGTGGCCAAGAAAGCAGGAAGAGCACAGCAGTGAGCAATGAGAAAGAAGGGAAATGGCACGAACCCCAGAGCCATCGCTGCAGAATAACGTAAGGCCCCCGTGACTAGGAGTGGGGCAAGTGGGACTGAGTCTCACAGTATGCACGCCCTAGGTCCCATTCCTTCACAGTCCGGTCGCGGCTCCCAGTCACTGCCTGGTGCCTTGTTAGCTTGAATTTGGCAGCTGTCACTTTATCCTTGTGTCCAGACAGTGTTTCCTGTCCTCACAAAAAGCATAGGTTAAGCCAAGCCCCCTACAAATCCTGAGGCATGACCCTTAACCCTTAAGTAGCCTCCTCACCTTGGACTGGGTCTCTCCCACCTTCCAGAGCTGGGCAGCCTGGTTATAAGTAGCTGCCAAAACCTGGGAGCCCTGGAGAAAGGGAGTAGGAGAGGTCCTGGGCCACACTGGGCCTGGCAGGGGCACTGGCCCTCAGGCCAGAGAGCCAGGGTCTCCCAGTCACTGGGTAGGGAGAGCCATGGCCTAAGTGAGGGCAGCTCCTCCAGGACAGGTTCTACAATACCCACAATGTGCCCTCAGACCCCCACTGCCCCGTGTAGAGACCGAGGTGACTCCTTACCGAGGGGTCAAAATCCACACTGGTGATGCTGCCACCAGCTCCTCTGAGGGTCTGGTTGGCCTCCAGGCGACCTGAAAGCATAGTAAAGGAAGTTATTAGCCTTACAAAGTAGAGGACCCGAGACACCAACCTGGAAGTAGATGGCAGGGTGGCTGGGTCTGGCCTAGGGCCTGGGTGGAGAATGTTCCTACTACAACTGTTGTACAGCCCTAGGAGCAATGAGGCAGTTCACAGTGCTAGAGAAGACCAGAAAGGAGGGGCTGTGCCTAGGTCACACAGCAGGCCAGGCCAAGCCAGCAGGAGACCCACTTCTAGGAAGCCTTAAAGAGTTGGTGCTGGCCAGGCAGTGGTGGCACCCGCCTTTAATCCCAGCAGAGGATTAAAGTGGATCTCAGTGAATTCGAGGACAGCCTAGTGCTGGTCACCTCACTGGTTTTGGAGTCTGAGGGACACAAGGATAGGATGTAGCTATTCTGGGCACATCGGCAGAGTTAATGCCAGCACCGAGGAGGTTTGAGACCAGCCTGGTCTACACAGTGAGCTCCAGGCCTGCAAGGGCTACATAATGAAACCCTGTGTAAAAATGAAAACCAGGTAGCTTAGTAGAGCCAGGAAGTTGTTGCCCAGGACCTGGTTCTGTGTGCTTTCAGGACGGATCCTCACCTCCTCCCCATCCTACAGACCACTCTCAGAGCTGTCCAGCCACTATGCATAGACTCATTCCAGCAGGGGACAGGGAGGACAGGACTAAGACCAGGGCCAACCCAAGATCAAGCTGAGAATGGGGTCTACAGAAACGTGCTGGGTTAACTTTTAGGAAGGAACTCTTACCTCCCACGACATTCCAGAGGTGGATGAGCTGGTCAGCCCCTCCAGTGGCCAGGAGGCTGCTGTTAGGGCCAAAGCAAACAGCATTGACCTCAGAGAGATGGGCATCCTGTTTAAAAAAAAAAAAAAAAAAAGGAGGANAGGAGGAGGAGGAGGAGGAGGAGGAGGAGGAGGAGGAGGAGGAGGAGAAGAAGAAGAAGAAGAAGAAGAAGAAGAAGAAGAAGAAGAAGAAGAAGAAGAAGAAGAAGAAGAAGAAGAAGAAGAAGAAGAGGAAGAAAAAGAAGGTATGGAGTTGGCACCCAATCTTCCCCATGCATGCCCGCTGGTGCCCACTCACAGGTGTCTCACATCTGCTTCTGGCTTGGCAGTTACCAGTGGGGGTCTCTGAGAACCTTAAGTTTCAGATTTGGCCCCAGCAGGTCAACTAAGCCAGACCCTTGCTGCCTCCTGTCTCAGGCTCTCCAGTCTGTGTTCACTGGAAAGTGCTGTGTGGCTCCTACCACAGATTACAGGCAAACTCCACCTGCTGGGGCCCACCCTTGAACATCTCATTAGTACCCCCAAACACGAGGTCCTTCCTTACCAAGACATCCTGAGCCTGGGTAGGAATCCGGGCAGACACACACACAGGGATGCTTTGGTACCGCTGCTCAGGTGCACCCCCAACTGAGTGCCCTCTCCTCTTCTTGAAACTACAGGGGTGGGGACAGAAAGGCACTCAGCAGAACCTGCTAACATGGGGCTTTAAGCTCTCCTGAGGCAGCAACAAGAAGCAGACATGGCAGGCAGCGGGACATTCCCCAAGGCACAGTCAGCAAGGGCCACAGCCCAGCTTGAGCAACCCTGTAGAGAGGAGGGCACTGTACACTGAGACACAAGACGACAGAGTAGTGGGTACAAAGGAATGTTAATGCCGGCTGGAATTTCAGTATGGCATTACCGCTAAGCTAAGTAACTCTGAACAAATCTTAGACATTTCTGAGCCTCAGTTTCCCAACTGAGTGGGCATTCTTGATCAGCCTCAGGCTGGAGCTTAGTCCCCTGTGAGGACCCTGAATAGGGACAGAGTGTTACAAACCTGGAAAACAGTTATCAGGAGTTGGTCTTGAGCTATCCACCCAGATCCTGCCTGTGGGGCCCAACAAGCTGCACATACAGACAGGCATCTATGGATGACAGACCAAGGCTCAGGGAGCCTTGCAAGGGTGCCAATCCCTTCACACATTTGCACACACACTTACTCCAGCAGCCCCTTCACCACATCCACACAGCGGGACAGTGTCAGAGAGGTGGCCGAGGCAGACCTGGGGCAGAATGGAGAGACATACTGAGATCATGGCTCATGTTGTCCCTGTATTTTGCTAGGGACCTTTGAGGAGGCTCATGATCACTCAAGACAAGAACTAGAACTTGATTCACTGAAAAGTAGGAGAGCGTGATATAGACTAACCAAGAAGGGTGGCGGGGAGGGAACCTCCCCAAGCCTCCACCAAGATGGGACAAAGAGTCTCATCCCATGCGCTCACCAACAAAAGCTCCTCAGGGAAGGAGCCCCAGCCTGTGGAGGGGCGAAGGAAGAGAACGATGCTCCCAGGTTGAGACAATGAATACGGAACACTCCAGTTTGCTGAGCAGCCCCCAAAACACCAAGTAAATGTTTATGCTGAGACATCTAGACCCATTAGGGCTGACAAGAATTTGGGGAACCAGGATCTCTGTGAGTTCAAGGCCAGCCTGGTCTACAGAGCTAGTTCCAGGACAGGCTCCAAAGCCACAGAGAAATCCTGTCTCAAAAAAAAAAAAAAAAAAAAAAAAAAAAAAATTGGGGGAACCAGCACCAGCATTTCATGATGTTGCTGTTCATTCACTGTCCCAGGGACATTGATTCCTGAAGGAAAGACTTCTGGAAAAGTGTCTTCAGCCCAGCAAATGGGGAAGGAGTGGCAGACCAGTGACAGGTCAATTAAGATGTAGTGGAAGCCAGATCCCAGCTAGTGCATTTGAAGTCATTCTTGACTACAGAGTTTGAGGCCAGCCTAGGCTACATGAGACCCCCCCCCTTCTCTCTCTCCCTCTCTCTCCTTCTCTCTCCCTCTCTCCTTCTCTCTCCCTCTCTCTCTCCCTCTCCTCTCTCTCTCCTTCTCTCTCCCTCTCCCTCTCTCTCCCTCTCTCCTCTCTCTCTCCTCTCTCTCCTTCTCTCTCTCCCTCTCCCTCTCTCTTCTCTCTCTCTCTCTCTCTCTCTCTCTCTCTCTCCCCCCCCATCATAGCTCAAGTGTGAACACACTTTAACACAGGCTCACACTCAGGTGTGCTCACTAACCTTGCACACATGCACACTCCTTTGCTCCCACACACAAGCCTGGACACCTAACCCTTGGGTCTTGTCCACTTTTCTCCCAGTGACTCTTCCACAAGACTATGGCTCACCCTAAGAGCCCTGGTTCTTGAAAGTAGACAATGGAATAACACTGCCTGCTTCCAGGCACTGCGGTCTCTCCACAAGCTCGCCCCGATCCTGGAAGAAGACATGGGCAGCCTTCTGGGTGGCAGCCAACTCAGGGAGGAGTACCTGTGTGCTCACCTGAAAGGCCTCTTCCATTTCTCACACGTCTCTCTCTCCAGGAGCTCAGGCATAGCAGCAGGAGCTAGAGGCACATTCTCCTCCTTGGTCCCACCTTCCAGAGTGTCTGGGATCCTGAGAGAGAACCAAAGCAGGCCATCCCTCTCTGCCCCAGCAGTATTCAAGAAGAGCTGATCCCAAGCCACTAAGAACCACGGTCTGGCCTCCGTGACTACATACATCTCTACACCTGTCCAGGGACATGTACTGCACACACAGGCACCCAGGAGTTACCTGTAGCCACTTGTAGGGCAGCAGGAGTGGGTGGGGTAGTCTGTAGGTGGTGAACACATTCTGGGGTAGTAACCCAATACCAGAGTCATCCCTGTCCCTCCCCATTCTTACTCGCTGACGCTCACAGTCCGCTTAGCTGCTCTCTTCAGCTCCTGGGACACCCGAGCTTGGTTGGCCCTGACAGAGAGAAAAACCTCCTAAAGGCTCAAGAAGATGCTTTACAGGGAGAGTGGCCCAGCTTAAGTGGATCCCTTTTGATCAGTGGGAGGCCACGACCACCCCCGCCCTACACAACCCCACCCCTCCACCCCCCTCTCAACTAGGTGGCCCAGGTTGCCTCAAGAGGGCGTGGCCCAAAGCATTCACCTCTCTCTGCGCTCATTACGCAGATTGCACTCAGCGGCCGCGCGTGCTTTCCGCTGTACAAGCCGCTCCAACAGGTCCCGTGCCTCTTCCTGGAGCCTGCGCAATGCGGCCTCCTGGTGCGCTGCTTGCTTGAGTAGCGTCTTGTAGGCTTCTCTCTGCGCCTCGTTCTCTGCCTGCCGTTCCTCCAGCTGCCGGACCTGCTGTGCCCGCGTCTCCCGAAGCTGTACAATGCAGGCCTGCAGGGCTTCTAGCCTGCAGGGCGGAGACGGAGGAACATCTAACCCCCAGGTCTAGGGGGCGCTTGAGGACACTGGGGAAAGTTCTAGGGGTCCTTCCCTTACCCTACCCACGCCCGACCCTCATCTCACCTGCCCTGCCGCTCTTCCAGCTGTGACTGCAGGGTTTCTAGGGCTGCACTCTTTTTCACCACCTGGTAAGCCATCTGAGGAGGACAGAGGACATGGGCGCCTCTCCAGGGTAGACTTAGTCAGCCATCACCCCGCTATGGCGTTCCTGACCTAAGCTGCGATAGATTGGAACCTGTGTAGGGACGCCCCACAGCTTCATGGGGTCATTGTCAGCCCCAGGGCCCTGGAGTCTGACCTCTAAGTGTCAGTCCTGGCTGTGTCCTTTACTTTCTCATTGGCCCTGCGGTAGACGGTTAACCTGCAGCAAGCAGAATCTGCCCCCACGGCAGGGGAGTGCTTTCCTAACCACTAGGTAACCCAGAACTACTATCAGGAACTTAGCGCAGGCTCTTAGCTTGCACTGTGTCATGCTTTGTCCCAAGCTAACTTTCAGTCTCCATAACACCATTTCTGTCTTAGTGACGAGGATGCTGATGGGGAAGTGACGTATCCAAAGTTACACAGTTAAGTGGCAGACCCTTGAATCCAGGCCACCTTAACTACATCATGCTCCATATAAAGTGTATTCAGGCTGCGAGGGGTGTTGTGTTCTGTTTCCCATCTCCCAACACTTCACTTCCTAGCCCACCACCACCACTGCCCAACCCAGGCAGCACCCAGAGAAGCACATGAGACTAAGAACAAGAACAGACTAGGGCTGGGCGGTGATGGCGCACACCTTTAATCCCAGTACCCAGGAGGCAGAGGCAGGCGGATCTCTGTGAGTGCGAGGCCAGCCTGGTCTACAGAGTGAGTTCTAGCACAGTCAGGGCTACACAGAGAAACCCCCTGTCTCAAAAAACCAAAAAAAAAAAAAAAAAAAAAAAAAAAAAAAAAAAAAAAAAAAAAAAAAAAAAAAAAAAAAACCAGAGTGCACCACTCCGACTCAATCCTGCAAGATGAGGCTACCTCAGTATTCCTTCAGCTAAGAGCCGAGAACCACAGGTGTAGGGTGCAGCCTCACCCTCCCCTTTTGGTGCTGAAACCCTGGGAAGAACAGATCCCAAGGCAGCACTGTGCTGTGTGGCAAGAAGACCAACGCCTCTGGCTCAGGAAACAATGGCAGCTGGGGACTCTTCTCCTAACTTGTTCTTAACCCTTCCTCCCCAGGGCCTGGCACACCTCCCCGCGTGAGAGGTCTGGAGAGGGACCTGCACAGGCAGGACGCTCATCCATTCCATCATAAACCAATCACAACATTTATCTTTTTGAGTTTTTTGTTTGTTTGTTTGTTTTTAATATTTTTTATTTATTTATTATGTATACAACATTGTGCCTCCATGAATGTCTGCATGCCAGAAGAGGGCACCAGATCTCATTACAGGTGGTTGTGAGCCACCATGTCGGTGCTGAACTCAGGTCCTCTGGAAGAACAGTCAATGCTCTTAACCACTGAGCCATCTCTCCAGCCCTTGTTTGTTTGTTTGTTTATTTGTTTTGGTTTTTCGCGATAGGGTTCCTCTGCATAGCCCTGGCTATCCTGGAACTAGCTCTATTGACCAGGCTGGTCTCAAACTCAGAGATCGACCTGCTTCTGCCTGAGTGCTGAGGTTAAAGGTGTGGGCCCCCCTCCACCACCCCAGCTCATCTGTCATTTTCAATACTGAGAAAGCCGATCACCTGTCACCTGCTTTCAATACTCAAGTGGGTAGAGACGGAGACAGGTGAGTAGGTGCCAGGGATTGGAGATGTTCTGCTGTGACTGAAAAGGATAGCAAGAAAGACAGCGTGGAAACAAAACTGCAATATCCTGATTGTTACGCAAATCTGCATGTAATAATGTCACACCACTGTCAAATTACAACCACGTGGCACTCTGGGGAGAGGCTCCCAAATGTCTTCATAACCCACTCCAACCTTGTGTTGGGCAGGTGAGGAGACACGTGATTGGTGCCTCGTCCCAGTCTCCATGGAAACCCACAGGGCCAGGTCTTGTTTATGGTCACACTCCCTGTTCCTTGGATAGTCAATAAACAGTTCTTGACAAAATGAAGAATCACAGAAAGTAGCTTTGTGTGGGTGAAGGTTCAAGTCCAGGGGCCACATCCCTAAGCCCATTACACTCCTCTGCTACTATAAAGTTGGCCAAGATAATGCAGCAAATACAGGCCCACTCGCTGCTGGCTTCCCCACCCTGCTTACCTCACCACACACCAGCTGCAGTCCCTTTTTCTCCTCCTGCCACTTCGCCCTCAGAGAGGCTGCTGATGAGACTTGGTCAGAGCCAGGCCCGGAGAACTCCCCCCTGACGATAAAAACAACTCACGGTACCTCCTCTCGCCCCAGTGCCCAAAATGTACCCTAAGAGTGCCCCATAAAAAAAATTGAAGAGCCATTAGCTTTCTCTTAGGGCAAGTGGAAGCCAGACAGAGAAAGAGCAGTCTCAGAAATATGTTCTCCTACGGAGCAGAGGTGCCTTTAATCCCAGCACTCAGGAGACACAGGTAGGTGGATCTCCATGAGTTCAAGGCCAACCTGATCTACAAGAGCTGTGTAGGCAGAGGATGCTTGTTTGTTCCTGGCAGCATAGAGCAAGGAAAAAATTCCAAGCAGAGATAGAAGAGAAAAAAAGGCAGAGTCAGAGAGACGCCATGTAGCTGTCAAGGGAGGCAGATGCTCTGGAACCTTAACGGTAAACCACGGGCCTAGTGGTAAAAAATAAAATAATAGAAATGGGTTAAGATGTAAGAGTTAGCTAGAAAGAAGCCCAACGGTGTTGGTCAAACGGTGTTGTAATTAATACAGTTTCTGTGTGATTTTTGGGGGTTGGGGCAGCCTGAAACGAACAAGCAGTCCCTGCTTACAGAGCTAGTTCCAGGACAGCTAGAGCTGTTAAACAGAGAAACCCTATCTCAAAAAAAAAAAAAAAAAGAAAGAAAGAAAAAAAGCACCTGTCAGCCAGGTGGTGCACACCTTTAATCCCAGCACAAGAGCACTTGTTTGCTTCCCCAGAACACTGTAAAACATAGCTCAGGGTTGGAAAGATGGCTCACTTGGCACACTAGGTGTCTTCACCTGAGTTTGGGCCCCAGCACCTGCACTAAAACCTGCCACACTTTGCCCGAGCTAAGAAAGTTGAACCAGCTCAGTATAAGACCTTGTCTCAAAAACTAACGTGAAACACAATTAAGAAAGACGTAAGATGTTAACCTCCAACCTCCACAGATGATACACACAAGGAAGCCAAGTGTGGGGCACTGACCCTGAGAGGTGGAGGCAGGAAATCGGGGTTCAGGGTCACTTTTAGTCTGCACAGACAATCTCCTCTCATCATTGTCTCTCATTTCATCCCTGCTCCTGTGTTCTCTGCCTACGTGGAACAGGCAGCAGCACCCTTTCTGTAGGTAGCCATCAGGTAAGGAACAGGGGCGGGAAAAGTCAAGCAAGGGGGGAGGCCAGCGCTGAAAGACGCATCAGGGTATTAAACCGCTGGCTGGGGAGAACTCGGGGGCTGTCTACCGGCTGAGGAGGTCCCTGGGCGAGCAGCAGACAGGCAGGCCTGAACAGACTCACCAGGAGTCCAGATTCGGAGTGGAGGCGACTTCCTCTGACTTCAGCTTTTCTGAGAAGTTGGCTAGCAGTTCAGCCTTCTCTAGGAGGTGGTTATCTGGGGAAGGAAAGGGCACGAGCCAGAGGCAAGGAGATGACTTCATCTCCACAAGGGGCAAAGTCTGAACGCAGAGCACCTAGAAGCTAACACCTGCGGCGGCCTCCAGTCAGTCACTTCCCCTTCAAGGCCTCCACATTTTCAATTAAGTAATTCTCACTTCCACCCAGTAGCTTCCCCCTGGCCAATACTGAAACTCCTTGAGCAATTATCTAGCAAACCTTCCCAGGTTAGGTGGTTTGACCTTGGACCCCCACCCCCCCACACACACCCCTTCCGCCTTTTTTTTTTTTTTAAGCCAGTTCCAGGGCAGACTGGGGTTGATACACTCATGCCCAGACCCTCATCTCCCCTCCCTCAAGGTGACCTGACTGGGGTTCCTGAGCCAGACCTAATTCTCAAAACTCTACCCCAGACCCCAAGGCTTCGCAAGGCGCAGCCCCACCCCCACCTTCCAGCCAACAAGGGTAACAATATGCCTCAATTACAAGTAAGAAATCTGAGGACAAGGACTTGAATTAGCCATACCACAGACCTGGGGCTCTCTAATTCCCCAAACTTGTAGCTCCCATAGAAGTCTTGAGGACCCTCCCTCAAATAGCCCCACCGCCCATTAGAGCAGTTGGAGAACTGAGAGGCTAAGGTGGAGGCATACGACCCCAAGAAAAGACCAGCCCCTGGAAAATTCCAAGGAAAACCAAGTTCAATTGCGTGGGCGCACCAAAATTAGCACCAAATGAAGAAGCAGCAGGGACTGTGGTTAGACTTTCGGCCCCAAATATACAGTCGCAGTTGACCAGAGGCAGTAAACACACTCCAGTGTAGCTCGGCTCGAACTGCCACACCCCCTCCTGACCGGCCGCAGGAGGGCTTGACTTCCGCCGGCACAACAAGCACCCGAAAGAAGCCCGGGTCCCTTCGGGGTAAGACCCACTCGGCACTGAGGTGCTCCACGAACCCGAGCTAGGATAAACTATCAGTAGCAGAATCTACCAGGGTTTCGCTCCTTCCTGTCGGCCACTAAGGCTGCTCTGGCCACGCCTGCCTCCCTTGACTGAACTTTGGGGACCAAACGGACTGACCAGGCCTTGCCCTGGGGACGGCCTGAACGGGGCAAACCCAGCAGCACGGAGAGACGGAGCTTGTGTCTAGGATGCTCAGGGGAGGCAGAGCGGAGTCTCGAGGGCTGAGCCACGCCTGGGCTGGCAGCGGCAGGCGGGGACCCTGCTCAGCACGGAGACGGCGTAAACGGGTTCCCGGTGCAAACCCGGGAAACCGAGACCGCGCCGCTGCCCTCGAGTCCCCGAGCGGGGAGCCCCTTCTCAAAGGCCGAATCCCTGAGCCCCCGGGGCGCACTCACAAGCCGGCACTAGCTCCAGGAAGAGCGCCTTTTGCTTGCGGTCCCGATGCCGCAGCTGCCGCACGATGTGGCGCTTCCAGACGGCAGCGGGCGCGCAGGGGCCGCCAGGGGAGCCGGGTCCCGCCATGGCCGCCCAGTCCCGGGCCCCAGCACCGGGGCGGGTCTTCTCGGGGACTCCTGGACGTCAGGGCGGCGGCGGCGGGGAACCCCCGGGCGGTACCAAGTGCGTCCTGGGGGAGGGCTGGGCGCTCGAGGCCGGCCGCTCCCTCGAAGGCGCTCGCGTCCGTGCCCCGGGGAAGCAGCTTCCCTGACGCCAGTGGGCGCGTCCGGGGCGGGGCCTCGGGGTCGCGTTCCTTAACCTCGCCGCGCCTGGACCAGAGTGGGATGCTGAGGATGCTTTTCGCCGCCGCCTGCCCTCGGGAGCGGGAAGGGGAGACCCTGCCACCCCGGGGACAGGCCCAAGCATTCTAGCAGAAGAGACTGCCTAAAAGAGCCCCACTATCGTCAGATGGTGACGTCGGAGTGGTGTTTATGAGGGATCAACCAAGAACCTTAGCCAGAGAGAGAGAGGGGGAAAAAAGAAGTCAAGCCCAGGAAAAAAAAATAAACAAGTTTGGTGACATAAAAATTACCAATGCAAGCCGGGAGTGGGAATACCTCAGTGGTGGGAGATCTTGCGAGGGTCTGAGTTGGTTCAGGGTCCAGAGCTTCAGGGTTGGAAGGACTGGAGGAGCAAGATTTAGAGGCCCGTTTCTGTTTGGCCGGGCGGTGGCGCACACAGCCTTGGTCCCAGCACGGAGGAGGCAGAGTTGAAATAAGAGCACAGACAGCTCTTATGGGTAAACGTGACAGTGAATCCTAGGCTCACAAATAACTGGAATAAAACTGTCTCCAGCAAAGTGCCTATCCGGAGTTCTGCAGGGTATGCTGGGGCAAAAGCGCAGGAGGGAGGCAAAGGCATGTAGATCTCTGTGAGTTTGAGGCCAGCCTGGTCTACAGAGCGAGTTCTAGGACAGCCAGGGCTACCCAGCAAGACCCTGTCTCAAAGCACTATAAACTGGCCGTAGTCCCCATGTGTCTGTCTTGGATGCGCCCCACTTTTGTATGTGTGCCCAGTGTTCTTGCAGGAAATCTGCTCTGCTCACACATCAGATCGAGGAGTACTTCCTTCCCAGGCCCTGCACAGAGCTGAGATGCCCACGACACCAGCCCGCCCCGGCCCCTCCCCCACTCCACCTCACCCCCAGCTCTACACAGGGTGCTGCACCTCTCAAGTAAGACGTGTTGAGGGCAGGTTTTCTAATATATTTTTTAAAATTATTTTTAATAATATGTATGCATTGCGGGTATGTACACAGGAGTGTGGATGCCCGCAGAGTCCAGAGACATCAGAGTCCCTGGAACTGAAGTTACAGGCAGTTTTGAGACGCCTAATGTGGATGCTGGGAATGGGCTCACCGCTTCTGGAAAACAGCAGCTGCTCTTAAGAGCTGAGCCATCTTTTCAGCACTCCTAATACTTTTTTGACTCACAAATGCTGCCAGAAATGTTTAAATGATTTTTGTCGTTTTTGAATAATACATAATTCCAAAAGTACGGTGACATACTTCCAGCTCTAAAAATTTTGTTTATTTATTTATTTTGAACTGTTTGTTTGCTTATTTTTACCCACTGGGTCCAGTTAATGCTGCCTGTGTGTGAAGTGATCCACTGGAACATGGGTAACCTAAGAGGAGCCACACCCTTAAAAAATTATTTTAAGTGAACTTCATATTTTTTAGAATTCTAAATATAGAAGATATTTTCAAAGTTTATCATTTCTTTTTTACTTATCCTTTGGCCATTTAATACATATACACATACAATGTATCTTGATCATATTCACCCCGACTCCTCTCCCCCTCTTCTAATAATTTTTTTAAATATTTATTTATTTATTATGTATACAATATTCTGTCTGTGTGTATATCTGTAGGCCAGAAGAGGGCACCAGACCTCATTACAGATGGTTGTGAGCCACCATGTGGTTGCCGGGAATTGAACTCAGGACCTTTGGAAGAGCAGGCAATGCTCTTAACCACTGAGCCATTTCTCCAGCCCCTTCTAATAATTTTTTTGATGTGGTTTCTCTTTTTCTTGGGTTTCTCTGTGGTTTTGGAGCCTGTCCTGGAACTAGCTCTTATAGACCAGGCTGGTCTCGAACTCACAGAGATCCACCTGCCTCTGCCTCCCGAGAGCTGGGATTAAAGGTGTGCACCACCACCTCCCCAATGACCTAATATACTTTAAAACATAGTTTGAAACTTTCATTGGGGCCATAATCTCCCAATAGCAGCAATTGTTTAAAACAACTCAGTCAAAACACTGTAATATAACGATAGACTACAGGCCAACGGAACACAAATGAGATACACAAATGAGACCACTTGTATCTATGGACATTTCTATTTTTTTTATTGTTGTAGCTGTGGCGGCTTGTATAGGAATGGCTTCCATAGGTTCATCTATTTGGATGCTTAGTCATCAGGGTGTTGCACTACTTGAGAAGGATTACAAGGTGTGGGCTTGTTGAAGGCCGTGTGTCACTGGGGGTGGGCTTGGAGCTTTTAAAGCCCAAGCCAGGCCCCATGGCTCTCTCTTTCTGCTTCCTGAAGATCTGAACGTAGAACTCAGCTACTTCTCCAGCACCATGTCTTGCTATGTGCCACCATGCTCTAGCCATGATAATATATGTATTAGTGTTTTGCCTGCAAATATGAAAGGGCACCATATGCGTGCTATGCTCATAAAGGTCAAAAAGGGATATCAGGTCCCTTGGAAGTGGAATTATAGGTGGCTATGGGCAACCATATATACACTGGAAACTGAACCTGGATCCTCTGCAAAAGTAACAAGTGCTCTTAACCCCTGAGCATCTTTCTAGACCCTGTTCTTGAGACAGGATCTTACTATGTTGCCCAAGATGGCCTTGAATGCATAATCCTCCAGTTTCTGCTTCTTAAGGGACAGATTTTACAAGCCTGTGCCACCATGCCCAGCTAGATAGCTTGAATTTTTAATACGAGAATCTCTGCTAGGTGTGGTGGTGTATTCCTATAATCCCAACTCTTCAGGAGATTGAAACAGAAGAATCAAAAGTGCAAGGTCACAGCCTGAGCAACTTAGTAAGCCACTGTGCCATAATTGAGCAAATAAACAAAATACAACATAGATGTGGTGGCACGTATTTGTACTAGCACTTAAGAGGCTGAGGCAGTAGGCTTGCGAGAGTCCAAATCTGTGGGCTGAGAGATGTCTCAATGGTTAACAGCACTAATTGCTCTTGCAGAGGACCCAGGTTTGGTTCCCAGCACCCATATGGCAGCTCACAACCCTTTGTAACTCAAGTGTCAGGGGATCCAACACCCTCATCTGACCTCTGTTGGCACCAAGCATATGAAGGAAGTGCAGACATGCAGGTGGGTAAAACACCTATACACAAGAAGAGTTCAAGTCCACCCTGGCCTCAATGGTGAGTTCCAAGGCAGCCTGAGATAAGAAAGAGTTACTGTCTCACAAAAAAGAAACAAAAATAAAAAAATATTTAGGGATAAATCTCAGATAAATATTTAGGGAATATGCTCAGCACACACAAAGCTGGGGTTCAATCCTAGTAGCAGGAAAGAAACAAGGGTGTCGGCAAAAGCATGGAGAGACTGGAATTATGATGCTTTGATGATAAAGTGTATAATGGAACCAGTCATGGGAAAACTATTTAGAAATTTTTCATAAAGTTAAGCAATGGCTGTCACATGACTTACCAATTCCATTCCTATGTATATACCACAAAATTCAAAAGTAGGCACTGGCATATACCTGCATATTCATTTCATAGGTATTTTTCACAATATTCAACCATAGAGACAATGCACTATCCAACAACTGTTGTGAAATAATCTTTTTGTACATTGTGAAGATGTGTCGCTCTGATTGGTTTAATAAAAAGCTGAACAGTCAATAGAATTTCCAGGCACAGAGGACACCGAGAAGAAGGGCAGAGCTATCAGGAGACTTGGAGGAAGTAGCATGGGCAGTACAGAGTAAAGGTAACTAAGCCACATAAAAGAATATAAATTTTAAAAAAGATATGGGTTAATTTAAGTTAGAAGCACTAGTTAGAAGAGACCGGCAGATCTCTGTGAGTTCGAGGCCAGCCTGGTCTATAAGAGCTAGTTCCAGGTCAGGCTCCAAAGCCACAAATAAACCCTGTCTCAAAAAAAACAAAACATAATTTAAAAAAAGAGCTAGTTAGAAACAAGTCTAAGTTATCAGCTGAGCTTTCATAACTAGTAATAAGTCTCTGTCTCATTACTGGGGAGTCAACAATCCTGATGAGAAAGTCCAGCTACAAATGGCACCCAGTGTGGGGCCATGTATTTCCACCTAAGACCCGAGAAACCTTAAAAAAAAAAAAAAAAAAAAGGTTACACACACACAAAACAGTGCCAAATGTGACTTCCTAGTCCCACAATCTCTCATGCAGGCTGCAGTCAGAGGGCTTAAGAAAAAAAAAAAGAGCTCTCTCTTTCCATCTCTCTCCCTCTCTTCTTTCCCCTTCTCCCTTTCCTTTTCCCTCTATAACCCACTAAATAAATTCTATACCCCCCCAAAATATAGATAATCATATAAAAAGAGAGAAGTAATAAAAGATAAGCCATATAAGGATGGGATTTTTTTTTTCCAAGATGGGATTTCTCTATGTAACAGCCCTAGCTGTCCTGGATTTAGCTCTGTAGACCAGGCTGGCCTCAAACTCACAGAGATCTGCCTGCCTCTGCCTCCCAGGTGCCGGGATTAAAGGAGTGCCCCACCACTGCCTGGCAGGAATTTGGACCTTACATGGTGTTTTATTAATTTTGAAATTTTTAAATGCTGAGAGACACTGGGTTGTGTAAGGCAACCCATATGCTTTAGGAATGGCGTAATTTTAAAATCAAAGTCAAAAAATATAATGTGTTGGGGAAGAGGTGATGCTTTTGCTGCTGTAGAAAATGAAAGGCTATGGATTCCTTTCAGGATAATAGAGATCATATTTCACCAGAGTCCTCCTGAGTATCCTGGTTACAGACATGGGGGAGGAAACCAAAAAAGACTTCAGGACAGGTGACATATATGCTGATCCCTCTGCATAGGAATAGCTTGGAGACAGCTGGATGATAAATCTTGTTGGCTACAGAGTCCTCATGACTCATTATTGTATGCCATCCTTTTATGTGGCATGGACAGAGTTATAGACAGTTTGGTTGTGCAGTCCAAACAGACTAAT